TTTCTGTATCCTTTAATGCATTATACCATTATCATGCACTTAAAAACTAATTTTCCTGAGTTGGTTGTGTTTCAGCTAATCAGCACAATTATCAGCTATATTCATTACTAAAACATTAAGCATCCTTTATTGTAATACTGGTTTAAATAGCCACATTTTCACCGCACTGGCACTGTAAAGGCTTTATGGAAATGATCTAACTCTCTGATAGACAAATCCAGCGAAATGGGGACTAGAGAGAAAGTAAATGTATTTTCTATGCTGTATTGCATCGTTTGTTTCAGTCAGTCCCTGGCATTTAATATAACAAGAGGTTATTAAATGTTCTCCAGTGTTCATTCTGCAAGTTTCTCTTAAATCACTCTGTTGCAGCATCACAACGGCAGAATTAATGAGAGCTATTTTTAGCTACTCTTGTCCCAGAGCGGTCAAAATTGAATACGGTTCTGCCTCAGCCCTAAACCATACTACAGCACAAAATCTTTTCTCTTAGTCAGAGAATTGAACACCATATTGCCTCAGTTCCCTCTTTAAAAGAAATATGATTTTGTTTTTCTGCTGAATAAAGAGTTGGGGAGCCAGCACTCTTAATTTTAATGATACTCCAAAGTGAATACAAAATTAAACACCGTCTTAGCTTCCCTCTGTGTGGGTTGTGTAAGGTTAGTACTGTGATGACTCCTTGTATATTAAGGATTTTTTTGCCCAAATGAAGATATTCTGCTTTGCAACATGTATGGCTTTATGGAACCTGTATCACAAGGCAGTGGGCTACACCAGTTAGAGAATTCACATTTCAGGTGGAGGGGTTGGCAGTTTTCTGTTTTTGTGGTGACTACAGTACAAAATCTGGAAAGGGAAGAAAGAGGGCAGAGATGAGAGGCTTGGCTTGCAGTGCAACCCCAAAGATCAGCTCCTTTTACTGTTTTTCCAGCCAAATTGATATTTGGAATTGAAAAAAACTGCCAGAAGACAGGTACCCTGCCAAAGTGACTGGTAGACTTGCCAACAGTGGCCAAACTTTGCTAATATGATTCAGATGGCGCTGCCAGGTCACACGAGTACTTGTTTTTGTCATTGCTCCTTTTGTAGTTCACTGGCTTTTATTTATATATATATATATATATATATATATATAAAATGTGTTTAATTTTTGGCTACAATGTCTACCTCAAAGATCAGCAATGTTGGCCATATTTGTCACTGTTACTGGCTTTTCAAATATGAATATTTTTTAATTATTATATTCAGCTATGATGGAAAATCTGTTTGTGTTTTTTGAACTGTTGGTTGGACAGTATGTCAACTTAGGCTCTGGAAAATTGTGATGGATCTACCAGTTATTTTCGTGATTAATTGTTTGGTCTATGAAATGTAAGCAAATACTAATAAAGAGCCCTTTGAGATGTCTTCAGTTAAAACTGTAGTTACTTGTCAGTCATTTGATCAGTCGAGAGAAAATGAATCTGCAACTATTTTGATAGTTGATGATTGAATTGTTTTAAGCCATTTTTAAGCAAAAATACAAATAATTATCTGGTTGCAGCGTCTTCAATGTGAGTGTTTGCTTGTTTTGTCTGTTTTTATGTAATTGAAAACTGAAAATCTCTGGGTTTGGACAAAACAATACATTCGATGAGGTCAACAAGGACTGTGGTGGAAGCAGCAAGTTGTTGACATTAATGTTCAAAACATAATTTACAATAAATGAATAATCAATCAAAATAGTATCTGATTACATTTCTGTTGATCGACTAAATGAATAATTGTTTCTACTCCGGAAAATAATCATTAGCTGCTGCCCTGAATTGGAGATATGCAGAACCACAGTGGGCTTATTGAATAATTGCGTCGTTACCATTTGTGTATTGACTCCACACGGTCCATTTTGACCGCAGCTATCCTGTCCTTTCTCAGCTCAGCTGTGTGATCCATCTGTGTTGTAGTGCTGGCTCCCAAGTTGCCTGGTTGTAATCCCCCAAGCATGACCCAACCAACGCGGTGTGTCTCCGCTGTGGAGCAGGCTGCCAGCCCTGGCTCTGGCTTGTGGAAGCTTCTGTTGGCACCAGTTGTTTGTGGCCATAAAGGGCGTGCACAACAGACTCATCAGTCACTAGATGCTGAAGCGACTTTAGTACATAGGACCAACACAAAGTCAACTCAAGCGATGAGACACTGTTTTCTTTTCATTCTTTAATGTTTACGTGACTTTTGAGAGTAGCGTCTTGGGCTCTGATGTTGGCTTGGTTGTGAGACTAAATACAAAATGCTACGTACATACAGTATTTTTTGTTTTATTGTTGTGCAAATCATTTGTTGTTTATCTTTAATTCCTTTAAAGAACGGCACTTCTGAGGATGAAGATTTTCTCTCTCAATTAATTCAGCTGTGTCTCTTTTAAACCTCCCACAGTTGGGAAGAACCTTCAGACACGGCCTGAAAATGTCAGGCCACTTGAACAACACCACACTGTTCCCCCCTCTGTTACCAGAGCAACAAGCTCTGCAGGAGGAGAAAGCAAAATTACATCCCTTTAAAGTGAAGGAGGGTGGGAGAGGATGAGATGCACACTGCAGGACCTTGCTGAATCTGTTTTGCACCCCTCCCCCCACCCCCCTGTAAATTCCATTTTACATTCCTCCTGTTTCACACCATTTGGGATTTTACATACCATTAATTTTTATGGTCATTTATTTGTATTGGAGCAGACACATTAAGCATTCTCTAATCATATTTTCCATTCAACAAAATCACATTTTTCACAACCCCGCTGCAGCACAGGGCCTAAACATTATACACGTGTGTGAGTGTGTGCACGCATGTTTGTGTTATGCTGCGTAAATGCCTGTAAAAAATTTCTCAAAGTAGGAATATCAACTGGAAACAAGTGCCTCCTCCTGTATCTTTGCAGTTTAGTGGCAAACGTAAATGTCAGTTTTTTACATCAGTGTTTCCACAGGTGCTGATCAAGAAGAGACGGGCATAAATCCTCCTCTCCAAAGAGCAAAGTTTTCAGTGAGAATTCATGCCTCCTTTTTTCAGCAGTCTTGTTAATATTCAGATGTCTTTTTCTCTCACTCAAGTGCGAGTGTATTCAATGTAAAAGGCCACGGGGGGAGTTCCCCTGTTCAAACTTTTGTTCACCCTCCTTGTGTGAGTCCCACCATAAGTTGCTTGAGGAGTCTGTGACTGTTGCTGCCACTTATTCAGCTGCCTGTATTCCCAGACACTAGCTAACGTTTGGCACTTGGCTGACAGATTACGACTGACATAAGGACGATGTGTTGAAGGAAGCCTGGGTGGTAAAACGGTAAACAGGACGGCAGCAAAGACAGTCAGCTAAATTGCTACCTCAGACTCTGCTTTTCTATCATACAAAAACAAAAAGGACCTAATTTCCTTTAAAATGAGAAGTTTGTTTTGTACTTTTTAAATATAAATAATAATAAAAAAATAATAAATATTTTGCCTGAACATTTAAGCATCATTATCACTTTTGGGAACTTGATAGCAGTACCATTAGCAGGTTGTCATGCTGACGTGGCGCATATTAATCTTCAGAATGAATCAGGAGTGACACTCGATAGATGTCAGCTGAGGGTCCATGCGCTGGAACTGATGCTGCTTTTAATGCACGATTCGTCTCACTTCGCTCATGTGCCATCACACTTAAATGTGCCGCAACATGAGATCGGTCTTCCCAATGAGTTCTCTGCCTAAGTGGCTGTGCTGTAAGTGTTGGAGGTGTCAAAGAAATTACCAGCAAAGCAGGAGGGAAATGTGTGACAGTCTCACCTATTAAGGTCAAAAACCTAGGATCACTTTACATGACAAATGGTGGTTATTGCACTAGATGCTGTGATGTGGGTTGTAATTTGCCCCAAAGGGAATGGACCTAAGACTATTTTATATGCAGTCATTGAATGTCTAATGTGTCGTGAGATTGTGGTGGAGGTGAAGTGGTATAGAACAAGAGATAAGATAAGAAGTGAGCAGTGGGGGCACAGCGGACAGTGCCGACCTAACAGCTGCAGGAGTCGACCTTCATCTTATCCTCTCTGGTTGTTAATGTGACGGAGGGTGTGTTTTAATTTCAAAGACTGAATGTCAGTGAGGCCTTGTTGTATCCAGCAGGGTTTTTATCATTGCATTCAAAGCACTGTAAACATGGGACGTCATACCTCATACTACTACTATAAAGGGGAGTATTTTGACAGTGTGTGGTCTGTTTGGCAATGTGTGAGTGTACTACAAATAAAACCAAGCAAATAAGTGTAAAACTTGAAACAAACTCATTAACCTGCTTGGTGCAGCCGTGTGTGTGTGTGTGTGTGTGTGTGTGTGTGTGTGTGTGTGTGTGTGTGTGTATACTGGCTGTGACAGTTTGCAATCTTATTACATTTTGTGAGGAGCTCAGAAACACTGTGACTGCTTCCTTTTAATAGAAACTCTTAGCCTAATAGCGGGAATGAAATGAAGTGGAAATAGGCTTCAGTCAAATACTATTGTCTTTCAAAAAGTGTATTGTGATGTTTGTACTTTTTTGGAAGAGCTTGGTTTTGTATGTTCTTAACATCCTTTTAGGTTAAATTTACAGTTCCAGTGGAAACCTGCTGTGTACGTCTGTTTCAGGAGAAAGCTGGATTGAACACTGAAAACTTTTTACCCTTGAAATCATTATTTTTGCATGGTCTGTGAGTTATTGTTTTCTTGACAGCAGAAAAAGGTTTTAGACTTCGGGTAAGTGTTAAATCGATTGAGAATGATTTGCAGCTGTAGCGAAGATGTTAAATGACTTTGACCAAGGGCATTTGGTGTTTTACCCAAGGAAACTTTGGCAGGACACATGACTTTCTTGTTGACTGAATCTGTTTGTGTCCCTTTTTGTCATAAGACGATGAGGCCGGCAGGATGTCCTGTGGCCTTGTTCTGACTATTTGGATTTAAACTTGGTTAGATCTCTTGCGTTAATCACATTATACTGTATCTCTCTCTTCCAGAGCGCAGCAATGGAGGAGACTGTCATTTGGGAACAGCACACAGTAACACTACACAGGGTAGGTATCTGTCATCCTCTCTCTGATGCTCCGCTACAACTTGTCCTAGTACCAGTATCCCTCTACCCTGCTTGTTTTGCTGTCTTTGCTTCCATCCTCCATCCCTGCATTTTACCCCACCTAATTTCAGGATCCCATCATGTAGGAAGTGTGCTCAGTGTGTACACAGTTGCAGGTGCAACAGACAAAACAGAGCATTATTACAGAGCTTTTCTTCTGCAGGATTCTCTAAATAACCTCCACAAAACTGCAGTTTGTGCGTGTTTTTACAAACAAGCTACACAGAAGAAGCCAACTCGCTTCAGCTATGCTTGCTGGCAATGGAAAAAGATACTACTTTAATTTTATATGTCTGTTGAGAACAGAAGCAACAATGTATGACTAATGTATGTTTTGTAATAATGTATATTAGGTTTATGAAACTGTCTGAACAAACTGGTCGAATGGCATATGTATAAGCAGGTGATAATTAATTTGTCAGCCCTATCTATCTCTGTCCAGACCTTTTTATTTTATGTTGGGTATTTTGGTCCATGCAGACAGGTTAATCAACATCCTAATCTATGCTTCTCTGTGTGCAGGCACCAGGGTTTGGCTTCGGGATAGCCATATCAGGAGGTCGGGATAACCCTCATTTTCAGAGCGGCGAGACTTCCATTGTCATCTCGGATGTACTGAAAGGAGGCCCAGCGGAAGGCCTACTGCAGTAAGATTTAGTTCCATTATTGGCAGCCGGGTCAGATTTCTAGTTATTAGTATTAAATTACCCCGCCTGCTACAGAAAGACTCCAACATGTCTGTTATCTCTGTGTCCCCTCTCCAGGGAAAATGACAGAGTCGTTATGGTCAATGCTGTCTCCATGGACAATGTGGAGCACGCGTATGCAGTCCAGCAGCTTCGTAAAAGTGGGAAAATTGCCAAAATTGTGAGTGTCAACATCCCATTATGAATCCTAGTAGAAAACTTAAGTATTTTTTGGATCCAGGTTTTGAGTATCAAGGGAGTGATTGATTCATCTTACTGTAACTCCGGCTGATCTCATATCTTATTTCCTTTGGCCAGACAATCAGACGGAAGAGGAAGGTGCATGTCCCCATGGGCCGCCTAGGGGAGAGGGAAACTATGTCGGAGCATGACGAGGAGGAGGACAGCTATGATGAAGAGATATACGAGACACGGAGTGGACGCAGCGGCGCTTACAGTGGTGTGGGCGGGGCCATGGGCAGGCGCAGCGGGCGGAGCAGCGGGCGAAGGGACAGGGAACGTGAACGCAGCGGCTCGCGAGAGAGGAGTCTCTCCCCGCGCTCAGACCGCCGCTCACACAACCTGCCCCCACGTCCGGCCAAGGTCACACTTGTCAAATCCCGTAAAAATGAAGGTGAGGCTCACAAAGTCGGGGATAAAAAAGGAGGGTGGAAAGAAAGTTTCTTTCTGTGGTAATTGAGGAAAGCACCTGCCAATTTTATTTACCCTGCTGTTACCAAACAGCCAGAATTTTAGAAGACAATAAGCCACCGAGATCAGCATTGGTCAACTGCCAGAGTCAACAAAACTTGCCAGCCACAGCAAAATCCAAGTTAACTCAAGTAAATCTAAGTAAAAGAGCAATTAATCTTCTTTAATCAGTACTGTTAATCCCAGTGGGAGCAGCGGCTTGACAGCAAAGTGTGGTCAGTGTGGTGTGGTCACGTGAACTCTGTGCTAACATCGTTTTTGTTGCTGTCGTTCACTTTGTAAGCAGAATATGGCCTGCGCCTGGCCAGCCACATCTTTGTCAAGGACATTTCACCTGAGAGCCTGGCAGCCAGGGACGGCAACATCCAGGAAGGGGATGTTGTACTGAAGGTGAGGGACAGGGTGAGGGAGGGAGGGAGGGAGACAAGAAGCCTGGTGAATATTTGATATGTAAATATCATAAAATATTAAACAAAAAGGAAAATAATGAGAATGTAGCGTTACTTTCTTTTTTTCTACTTTTGCTTTGATGGAGATAGAGAGAAGAATTGATACTGTGCTGGGCTTACTCACTGTACTGCTGTACTAACCCCTGTGTTTTTTACACAAATGTTGCAGAACAGCACTTACAGCTTGATCTCTTTGAATGTATCTCAGTTCTGTCACATTTTGGGGAAAAGTAGCTCTGTGTGCACAACAGGTGCTTTTAGAACTACAACTATTCTGAATCAATCATTCTGCACATCCAGCCTTCCCACACATGCCATGTGACTTTCTCTGAATGCCAGCACTTAAGAAATTAAATGTTAATCAAATGATTATAGGAAAGCATTGTCAAAATGGTACAAGTTAATACTGTACTGCCTATTCTGAAGCGTGGCTGTGTGTAATTGTTCCTTGTTAGACTGCCTCTCATAGCTTTACAAATTGATTTCACCCTGACAAACATAATCAGTGTTGCAGTTAAATTGCATCTGATCTTGTGCCTTCAAGATAATGCATTTGAAGCCTAAACTTATCATATGACATTTAATAGAAACAACAACATCTTTATTCGATTTTTCTTCTTTTGAATTGAAATGATCTGGATGTTCTTTGTCATGTCATGCTAGTAGCTTCTGTTTCTGATTCTCTCAGATCAATGGCACAGTGACAGAGAACCTCTCCCTAATAGATGCCAAGAAGCTGATAGAAAGGTCAAAGGGCAAGCTAAAAATGGTTGTTCAGAGGGACGACAGGGCGACCCTGCTGAACATCCCTGACCTGGATGACAGCATTGCTTCAGCCAACGCCTCCGACAGGGACGGTGAGAGAAGTGTTAAGTGTTGGATTCAGTTGAAATGGGGCGCAGCTTAAAAGCCAAATTTGTCAGCGTTTATTTGAGACTGCAGTCATTGAACAGTGGGTCTTGATCTTGATCAGACATTTCAGATATCCATTCTATGGCATCCGACCATTCCAATCGATCGCATGACAGACATCGTAGCAGCCGCTCCCGCTCTCCAGACAGACGATCTGAGCCCTCGGATCACTCCAGACACTCGCCCCCACAAATCAGCAATGGCAGGTACAGATTGTTCATCCAAAAAGTAATGTTTTAGGCTTTTAGCTGCTATGAAAGAAACACAACAAGTGTAAAATTTAATTCTTTGTAATTTTCATGTGGATTAATTCAGTTTTGTTACTTTATTTCTGCTGCTTTCTCTCCAGTTGATTTAAGCACCAACAATAATGCAGATTCCAACCAAAAAATAAACATCCACTGGAAAATACACGTCTCAGTAGAGCTCATATTATTTAACCCCAAACTCAACAGAAACACAGTAGTGGCCAGTTACCACCAACCAATACAAACAGGATTAGATTAACTTAAACAACCATGTCTGTGATTGAAAAGGAATTGTTTTACATAAAATTAAGGAAGAGCTGAAACTAATCAATTACCCCATCAACAGAAAAATAATCTCGTAATCAACTAATTGTTTAAGTAATCTTTCAAGCATAGATGTGATAGATCTTTTCCAGTTTTTGCTATTTTTTTGTTGTCTTATTTGATATTAAACTGATTTATTTTTGGGTTGGAGATTTTTTGTTTGTCTTTGGTTTTGGAAAACGAGCAATTTCACAACATCACCGTAGGCTTTTAGAAATTGTGATGGGCACTGTTTACTATCTTCTTATGGTTTTTGTTTGGTAGAAAAATTAATCGTGAAAGTTATCGGGATCAATAGTTAAAATGATGTTAATTTCGGCCCTGTATTAATATTAAAACAGCTGCTATGTTACTGATCTTGTCATAATATCTGTGCTTCTATCTTTCAGTTTGTTAAGACAGGCTTGTTTGTTTTTGTTTTTTTGGTTGTGAAGGACTTTCGATTTTATGTTTGGGTTAATACCAGCCATCAGCCCATTCAGCACTTCTTTGACTGTAATCTTGTGTGAAGGTACCTCATTAATTCTTCATTTAAACTCAATAGAGCACCAAAGTTGTTGCCCTTTCACTCTGCTTATTGACCCAAGAAAAAATAAAAGTAAACTGTTTAAACTGCAAAAGAGTCAATCTTGGTCAAAATTAGGGTTGAGAACCGGGTCAAAACTTTGTTCTGGTTTTTGTTCAGTGCTCAACCTATATTACTGTGTGTCCTCCATTTTGAACAAAGTATTTTGATACATTTGTTTCAGAAACTGCAAAATTATATAATGTGGCAACTGGAAAAGTGTTATACATGATCTCGTACTCCAAACGCAGGAAAACTGCAGTCGCAAAAAGCAGCAGTGCTGTTCACTGTTAATTAGATGTGTCTGCCCTTTTTATTCCCTTTATACTTCAACAGCTGGAGAATACCGTAAGTTTGACACCATTACCCCACATGAATAGTTACTTAAAGTAGTGGTAGTGAGACCCTGAATAGATTTAATGTAGTTTAATAGACAAGTATGTCTAGTTTTAGGTCTTAGGACTTTTGCAAACAACTCTAAACTAATCTTTGTAATAGAGAAATTGTGAATTTGTGTCAGTGTTTTGTCTAACAACAAATTATTACCTTATGGAACATTGCTGAAGTGGCATTATACTCAGTGACACGTCTTGTTTTGACTTGAGATGACAGAGTCCTGTGAAAGTGTCACAGGATCCCTGTGCCCCTTGAATGTTTTGGTGGGCAAACTCCCATGTTTGGCTCAAGTACAAAATGGATGCAACATTGAAGGAACAAAAGGCCGTCACCAACTATCAATGCCAGCTGTCTTCCCTTTTACATGTGGCTGAGCTATGATCTTTCTCTCTTTATGTGGATGCTTGGCTTGATTATGCTGTCTTTTTCATTTTTGAAGAGATTATATTTTTTTGAAATATTCACAGTTTTGTATGTTAAGAGGCAAAAAGAAAAATGTGTAATAATTTACTTATGACCCATCTAGGCTAGGCTTAAGTAAGTAATTTACGAACTTATTTTAATTAACAGGAAGGAGATGCTGGGATATAGGGTGTTATTGTTTATCTGAATCTGATCTGTGACCTGTGACCTTTTCTCTCCGTTCAGGAAGTTGGCAGTTAAAAGCAGGGCCTCCCCTAGGATAGGCTGAAAAAGACATTTGTTCCTCCTGTTCAAACTGGGTTTTTTTATGGTTACTTGGTCACTCAGTCTGTGAATAAAGCTGTGTTTTGCCAGTAAACTTGTGCCAGTGAGCAGCCATGTGACCATGAGTTTGGAGCTAGAGCCATAAACCAGTGCCACTGGGCAGCCTGCTTTGCTTACTTCTGTTCCCTTTTGATTTCTCATTTAAAACACATCGGGAATATCGGCATTTATCAAAACACAGGGAAATTCTGTCATTACAACTATCTGACACGTAATTGGCCAGGGTCACAGTGTATCACAGCTTAACTGTTTTAAAACTGGCATCGAAGTCAAACCTTTGCTGGGCTAAAGCCAGAGCCACACAGTGAAATTCACATAGAGGACAGTATCCACTCTGACACCTCAGATAAGCTGCTCTAAAAATAGAGCACAAAAGAGTGGAAAGACAAAGTGGTGACCTTCAGGACCAAGATGCAGCCTCAGACTCAGTTTCTTTCACGTGTTTTTCTTTTTTCATCCAGTGTGTGTGTCCCCTGCAGTCAGGAGGATGTTTCATACTGTCTACGCTTTGTATTGAGTGGTGTATGGCCTTGGTATTGTTGCGTGTAGTCAAGATGTTGTAAACTTAAAGCTCTCCAGTTGCCTCCAAGCTCTACATCTCCATAATACACTATTTATAATCTCATGTATTCCTTTTCTAAAGATAAATCGTACAAGAGCATCTATTTTTGTCTGCAGTCACAGAAGTCGTGACGACGAACGTATCTCGAAGCCGTCTTCAACACCAGCGAAGCTAGGAGAGGAACTTCCTCTGCCCAAACCGAAGGAGTCGGCTATTGCTAGAGAGGAGAAGCAGCTCCCACCACTCCCAGGTCAGTGATATAACAATCAGCCATTAAACCAGATCACTGTGCAAGACATTTTATTTGTCAATCAGAAGGTTACACATAGACATGTATGCACGCCCATAATTTGTGTCTTTGTATTCATACCTGTGAGCAAAGAACACATGCTAGCTTGGGTTTCCCTGTCCATCATAATAGAATAGCAATAGAACATTAAATGACTTAATGATAGTAAAATTAAATCTTGTTTGAACCAGTAATTTTTGCCCTTTTTAAAAGCACAACTACCAAAAAGTTAGATCCAGACGCCTGCTGAGCCTGGCTGAGTTTGCCTGGAGCCAAGTGAAAATAAACCGTATGAGTTGATCGAGTCTGACGTTCCTCTCCAGCCTGCAGCACCATGCTGTCTTTCTTTTTGACCTCCCTGCTCAGGACTCTGTGTGTGTGTGTGTGTGTGTGTGTGTGTGTGTGTGTGTGTGTGTGCGCGCGCGTGACAGTTGTTTTTTTTTTCATTGCACTTGTTCTCAGTTTAACATATGCATCCGCAATTTTGTTAAGTTGTGACAGTGTTTCAGGGCAGTATGTCTTTGTTTTTAAACATGTTCAGTGCAGTTTTACATGTTCATGATCTGTCTGCATTAATAACATGAGTTTGTTCGCGTGGTTTGTTCAGAGCCCAAGCCGGTGTATGCTCAGCCTGGACAGCCAGATGTAGACCTGCCAGTCAGTCCCTCCGATGCCCCTGTACCAAGCGCTGCCCATGACGATAGCATCCTACGGTAATCTTAATAGTATAATATGTCATACCATCAAATATTAAAGTCTTCTTAAAAACTACAAAACCAAAACTACTATGTGACCTTTTGTGAACCCCCTCCATAATTTCTCTTTATTTAAAAAAGAGGAGATAGCCATAAGGGAGGGATTTTTAAACCGCAGTTCACATAATAACAGTACATCTTGGAACAGCAGTTGACAGTTAACAAAATGCTCCTGTGCACATCCTGCTCTTAGTTATAAATACAAAGCAGGACATTTTGGAGATTTCAGTACTGTTAAGAAACGTGTATTTTGTGGCACATACTTGTTTAGTCCCAACAAAAGAGAAACCTGGCTGGCATCCAAGCGTCACTTAACTGTTCATAAAAGGAAGTTGCACTGGAAAGAGGGAAATGTCATCAGATGGTGTTATGTCAAAGAAAATCAGCTCAACTTTTGTCTTTTATTCCCCATCCTTAGGCCAAGTATGAAGCTGGTGAAGTTCAAGAAGGGGGAGAGTGTGGGGCTGCGGCTGGCTGGGGGGAATGATGTGGGCATCTTCGTAGCCGGAGTGCTGGAGGATAGCCCAGCTGCTAAGGAGGGCCTGGAGGAAGGCGACCAAATTCTCAGGGTGAGATACTTTTAACACAAATGTATAACCTGACTGCTGAAATCAAGTGGTTGTTTTTGAATTGAAGAGTTGTCTGTGAAGATTCTCAGTCATCCAGGTCATAGTTATCCAAATAAGTTAAAAATTCTAGTATCTAGTATCTTCAACCAAGTCCAGTTGCCCTTGACTTTAACCTTCTTTGGATGAATTGAGTTGTTTTGAAAATGAGATCGCAAAAATATATATGTCCAAAACTTAGAGTTCTTCTTCTTTATAATAAAGGATTGTTTTTTAACAATGGATACCTGATAGTGTCTGAAAACAAGATTTAGCCTTTTTTTTAATTCATGGTTTTACACACTGACTGCTCCAAAATTCCTGTACCTCCAGGTTGGTCTCTTAGCAATGGCCCCAAGGGAGCACACACAAAAACTGTGTTTCCTCTTGCTGTGTTTGTCCCATTTCCTCAAAGCAATATATCTTGCTGTTTGTGCCTCTTCTTCTTTTCTCCAAGTATAATGAGGAGGCTTGAGTTCTTGTAGTGCAGTAAAACCTGCAGTTACCCAGGCAATTCTGAGAACAGGAAGAGCTATGTAAACCTTTATCTTAACAGAGATATTTACACTCTATGTCATGTATTCTAAGAACAATGACGCCTACTCTTTAACTTAAACTTAAAAGCCCTTAAAGGTGTTTTATGGAAAGCATAAAGCAGTAACCTCTGTTCCCAAATTCCAGGTAAATAATGTAGATTTTGCAAACATAATCCGAGAGGAGGCGGTGCTGTTTCTCCTTGACCTTCCTAAGGGTGAGGAGGTCACCATTCTGGCCCAGAAGAAGAAAGATGGTAAGTGAAGTGAGTAAGGAGATGAAGAAAGTGATGAATTTCTATTGGTCACATTGGCCCGGTGTTAATGAGTCACTGCTCTTTCCTGTTCAGTTTATCGGCGGATCGTGGAGTCGGATGTTGGCGACTCCTTCTACATCCGGACACACTTCGAATATGAGAAGGAATCTCCATATGGGTTAAGCTTTAACAAGGGGGAGGTGTTCCGTGTGGTAGACACCCTCTACAACGGCAAGCTGGGCTCCTGGCTGGCTATTCGCATCGGCAAGAACCACCAAGAGGTGGAGAGGGGCATCATCCCCAACAAAAACAGGTGACGGCACACTGACAGACTTATGTATCTTTGGCTTGAATCCTACATTGGTTATCTCAAAGAAAAGGTGACATGGGAGTAGCTGGATAAATGTTTGTCACAACAGTAGACAGTCAGGTCCCATATTTAGATACATTTTGTTTTTGTTATCAGTCCCATGTGTCCTATGGTTCTGGCAATGTTGATGTTGGCTATGCCAACTTTATAACGTATCCATTAGCTGGGGTTACATTAAGAACTGTCTGTCTTTCTGCCAAATGTCAACAGAGCGGAGCAGCTCTCCAGCGTTCAATACACTCTCCCCAAAACGGCAGGGGGTGACAGGGCTGACTTCTGGAGATTTCGTGGTCTTCGCAGCTCGAAGAGGAACCTGAGGAAGAGTAGAGAGGACCTCTCTTCCCAGCCAGTCCAAACAAAGTTTCCAGCTTATGAAAGAGTTGTACTGAGAGAAGGTGAGGAATCTGACCATGTCTGCTAGCTTATATGTCAACATGAGATGAAAGCTGCGTCGTGAGTCGGATAATATTTTTGTGTTGTTGTTCAGCTGGTTTCCTGAGACCTGTGGTGATTTTTGGGCCCATCGCCGATGTTGCTCGAGAAAAACTCTCCAGAGAAGAGCCAGATCTTTTTGAGCTTGCAAGTATGTTTGTATGCATTATATTGAAGACCGCATCCTGTTAGCACACAGAAATGTTTTCTACATAAATCCCTCCAACCTTGTGTCCAGAGAGTGAACCGAGAGATGCAGGAACAGACCAGCGTAGTTCAGGAATCATTCGTCTTCACACCATCAAGCAGATCATTGACAGAGTGAGTATGTCTCCTTTCATCAAATAAAATGCATTGTAGGTTTTTAGGTTATTTCATCACAGGTATATTTTTCATCCCTAATCTTTCCTGTCTTTATCTCATGAAGGACAAACATGCTGTGCTGGACATCACCCCAAACGCTGTGGACAGGCTGAATTATGCTCAGTGGTATCCGATTGTAGTCTTCCTAAATCCCGATAATAAGCAGGGTGTGAAGAACATGAGGACCAGACTGTGTCCAGAGTCCAGGAAGAGCGCCAGGAAGCTCTATGAGAGAGCCATCAAACTGAGGAAGAATAATCACCACCTGTTCACCAGTGAGTGGGCAGAGAGTGTTAAATATGTATATCCTATTTTATATGTTTTATTTTTGTTGAAGTGATTGTGACTTTAAAATATTCTCTCTTAGCCACCATCAACTTGAACAACATGAATGACGGCTGGTATGGCGCTCTTAAAGAAACAATCCAGCAACAGCAGAACCAGTTGGTGTGGGTATCGGAGGGCAAGGTGAGAGACAGGCCTGTTAGGTTGTTACATTACATTTCATAGAACAATATCTTTTGAGTCCTGTTAGTCTGACCAAGCAACACAAAGATCATTTCTCTGCTCTGCCCAGGCGGACGGCACTACAGAGGATGACTTGGATATTCACGATGACCGCCTGTCCTACCTGTCGGCGCCGGGTAGTGAATACTCCATGTATAGCACGGACAGCCGCCACACATCTGACTATGAGGACACAGACACGGAGGGCGGAGCTTATACAGACCAGGAACTAGACGAGACTTTGAACGACGAGGTGGGTCTGCCCACGGAGCCTGCCATCACCCGCTCTTCCGAGCCTGTGCGAGAAGACCCTCCTGTAATTCAGGACACCCCTGGTTACCCTGGATACCAGCACCCTGTGCAGCCTGATCCAGCCAATCGCATAGACCCAGCTGGGTTCAAGATGGCCGTTCCGCAACAGGTAAAGTTCATACCTAGCGTTGCATGCAGGCCACTGCTGGCTGTGCCCATCAGAGATGGATGTATGGCTAAAAGTATATGACTGCAGAACAGAGCAATAGCTCCTTTTGTGTTCAGTGTTGTGTCCTGACCTTTATTAAGCTTAAATGTCCTTTGCTAAGTAAATAAATATGTTTTAGAAGCTACTGGTATGTTATCTATTCTAACTAACCACATTTTGGCAAGTGCATTCTCTGGTTGGTGTAAAACTGATTGTAAGGAAGAAGATCATGCTGTTGGGGTGAGCTGTACTTTGTGTGCCCTTGGCAGGCTGTGTTATAAATGTCTCTTAACAATACTTCACAGCAAGATGAGGCTGCTCTGCCCATGCCCTCGTTGCCTCCGACGGTGGTAGCGCCCCCTGCTGTTGAGCAGCCTGTACAGCTAGAGGGTATGCACCTAGAGGAGCCGCCTGCTGCAGCCGCAGCTCCTCAGGCTGACTCACTTAGCAGCCCCAGCTCTGCCCCTGAGCTTATTCAGCCCCCACCACCACCACATGAATCCCACACGTCTGGACCGCCTGGTCCAGAACCAAAGGTACCCGCTGTTTCACCAGCCACTCGGACCGGGCCTGGGCCCCAGCCTGCTGTTTTAACTGCCTGTCTTCTCGCACATGCTTTCCACTCGCTCTCTGCATGACATGCCCACACTGTGTGACTCACTGAGCCCACTGTGTGCCTCTGGCTCCCAGAGAAAATGTGCGACAGAGTAGTCCACATGCACCACAGTGGGCTGGGAGACCAGAACGACTGGTACATCTGAGTCTTTGACCAGGGTGAAGACATCCACAACCAGCCCTAACTGTTGCCTCTTACTTCCTTTGCATGGCTCCTAATGTTTTTTGGGTTCCTTTCAGCTTTAACTCTCTTCTGTAGAAGAACAATAGTAGCACTTACATTGGCATCGTAGTGGTAGATGTGTCGTCTGTTGTAGTGCCAGTAGTTTGACGTTGCATTAGACGCAAACTGAATGTTGGTTGCATGATGAAAGCTAACCTGCAGACAGTACTCTCTGTAATGATTTCCATCAAGCAATTCTCCCCATGGAAAAACACACTTACATCAGCACACTGCATTGGGTCTTCAGTTTAGTAGTTTTGTCCTGAGTAGATGCCAACATATCAACCTTCTTCCATAGGAAGTACCCTAACTAAATTTGCTGTCTACAGGCTACACATCATATGTTTGAAATGAGGCCTTTCAGAAATGTGCAAATTGCTGCGGTTAGTTCACTTTTTATAAAATGTGTTCATGTGTAAAACCCAGTTGTGTTCATGGATTATTATCATTCTTGAGAGGCATCTTGTCAAACAGGCATTCAGAACTGTTTTTGAATACTTGACAAAGGTTTGCTTGTGTAATTGCACTTTGAATTGACATTTGTTTAATTAAATGGTAAAAGGATTTATTTTCTAATGATTTGGTGAATGTGACTCATGTTCAATTCCTGAAGGTTTCAGTCTATTTCCCAGTACTAAACTCAATCTTGTAGTTATTCTTAATTTGTTGTTGAGTTTTTCCCAGACTGCTTTCTGTCCTTCAACATGGTGGTTGTTAAAAACTCAAACTGATGACTGTGTGATAGATGTATTGATTTAGTGTTGTTTCTTCACAGATGTACAAGAAAGATCTGTACAACATGGAGGACCCTGTGCGAATCAACCATGGCCTGAAGCCGTCTATGAGCTACAGTCACCAGCCACCGTATCAGGACAAACAGCCATACCGCGAATACGACCACCCGCCTTACGGATACGATGGAGGCGGCTACACAGAACCAAAGCCTCACAACACTGACTCACACCTGCACTACGACAACCGTGTGCCTCATTACGACGAACAGTGGCCCCCATATGACCAGCAGACCTCTTCCTCCCAGCCCACAGGGTACCAGCCGGGCCACCAGCAACCCATGGGCTACAACCCCCGGTCCCCCTACGAGGATGCACCAGGGAGGGACTACAGCCCCCCTCAGCCACGCTACGATGAGGCCCCACCAGTGGGCTACGATGGCAGGCCCCGCCACAGTAAACCTGGGCCCATTCGTTATGATGAACCCCCGCCCCCAGCTGGCTATGATGCCCGTTCACCTTATGAGGCAGAACCTCACAGCTTCCCCATTAATTCACCTCGATCGCCGGAGCCCCCAAAGCAGTATTACGGTGACTCTGGTCTGAGGCCTGCCTACATTCCTGGGCCTCCAAACCGGGGCTATAAGCCAGGGATGCATGAGCCTATAATGAACACTGAACCCATAATTCCACCTCCTAAACCAGAGACCCTGCCCTCCCCAGGAGAGCCAGCAATCACTCCGGGCTCCAAACCCCTCCCACCTCCGCCCCGGGAAGACCTGGATGAGGACCCGGCCATGAAACCACAGTCGGTGCTTAACAGAGTCAAGATGTTTGAGAATAAACGGTCTGTTTCTATGGACAGGGCTAAAGAAGGAGAGTCGTCAGCACTCAGGGTAAGTTCCTGACAGAAGTGCACAGGTATCACCTCAATGGGTCAAACATTTTATGCCACAGGTGTGACTGTATTTAGGTGGTGGAGCTGCTTCGAGATGTCAGGTCATAGATATGTATGTGCATGCAATCCATTCATGTGAGCAAAAATTTGGATCAGATGCAAGAAAAGACGCCCTCTCTTTGCTTTTCAGCCTGCAGATTTTCCTAAACCTGTGAGTACACCTGGCCCAGTCCTTAAAGCCAATTCCCTAAGCAACCTGGAGCAGGAGAAGTCCACCTATAGGTATGTAGACCTCATTACAGCACAGCAGGCTGCAGAGTAGGTGGGTGAAGGACAACCCTCAGATCCTTGCAAAGGCGTCTTGGAATTAAAATATTGTTGTTTGAGCTCCACCTAGTGGACACAAGTCACTGTGTAAGCAAGCCATACTCGGGTGTGGTTTGCAAAGTGTCAACCAAAACTAACAGTTCTGCATGTTAGTAGGGTCATTAGGAACCTCATTGTTCCCTGCTTTGAGAGCTTATTGCCGCCCTGAGCTGTTAACCCTACCTGGGATATCTTGGGATTGTTGAAATGTGTATTTCTTTTTGGTAATCTTTGTATTTTGTTTTGGAAATGCATTAATTTTACATTCATACATAGTATCGATATTGCATGTAGACATTAGCTTAGATACTACAAAGGGCTGAAGAGCGGGGGAGAATCCACCCTTCAAATTTAAATGCGTATTTCATGTCATTGACTCGTCTTCAAATGAGCACACTGTTTCAAATATCATATATGAGATGTCTTCCAAAACCATGTCCTGCAGGCTCTAGGCCAATCCCACAGTCCCTGTCCCTGCTCTTTAAATCTCTGCAGCTGTTTTACATGTTTACTTTTGCTTTTTCTGCAGGGCTCCTGAGCCACAGAAGCCCCATACTAAACCCCTGGACGATGTAGTGCGTTCCAACCACTATGACCCAGATGAGGATGAGGAGTACTACAGGAAACAGTTGTCCTACTTTGATCGCCGTAGCTTCGACAGCAAGGCCATGGGCCAACCCAGTCCTGGCATCAACCGCTTCCATGATCTGCCCAAACCAGCTCAGCTGTCCTACCCGTACACTAGGTTATTACCACACCTCATGCCAGCAGTGTTGGCTGATGTACAGAATTCATGAGCTCTTAAGTCACAGCAGCTACAGAATCAGAATTGGTTTTTTTTACCGGTATTGTTTGTGTCTACCCCCTGCAGAGTCGAGTCTGTAGAGAAGGTGAGTCCAGTGGAGAAAAGATATGAGCCCCTGCCCCAAATCAGCCCATCCTCACAGTATGGGCCGCCCGCGCCCGGCATTCCACCTAGCACACTGCCCAAGCTCAGCCCCATTGACGGTAAGCTCTCAGCACATTATGCTAATCTGCCAATTAGTTGTTCTTCACAATTTTCTAAATCCCAAGTTGCTTTTCATGTCCATGCATCAACACAAAACTCATAGTTTTAGATTTACCATCACATAAGATAAATAAATACTGAAAAAATTCTCAAATTTAATGAGCTTGGACAAGGGGTTGTTTTGCTTAAAAAATCAAAATAGTAATTGACTGATAATCACTGTGAACTGAATATCATTGGAACTTAGACAAAACAATCATTGCTTTTGTCGTCTTGGGCATGTTGTCAGTCTAACTATACTGTTTTATTGTGCTAACTGTAAATAAAATGAACGCCTTATCCACACAAGTGCAAGGATTTAATAGTTTGACAAATAGAAAAACAGACTACTAATGTTAACTCAGTTATTTCGTAGATGAATTTATATTCCCCCAAAATAGCTGGAATCCAGTTCCATACAAAAGGGCATTCCAGACATGTGTCTGATCTGCGTCTCTGCCTGTTCTCATAGAAATAGTCTAAGTTTTTGGTGGTCAGATGTAAACTAGAGGCTGACAGTGGGATTCCTGGAGGGTGGGAGTCAATTTCCCTTTTCATCACAGGACAGGGGACAGGACAAAAATCAAAAATCAATGGGAGGGTGCAGGACGGGAATCATATCAGTTTTAACATATAAATATGCAGTTTTAATGTTAACTAGAGATGACCAGGGCTGATAAGTCTCTAAGTCTTTAAGTGATTGTAGTCTTCATACGTTTGCAGGTAACTCCATACCTGAGCCGTTGAGCTCACCCAATCCTAAACCTGAGCTGGTAGCTCTCAGGCCAGCCAGCAGGGATGAACCTACACTAGGAGGCTATCTGCCTCCGATGCGCCTCCCTGACAAATCCCCAGTCAATGGCACTGATGCAGCACCCCCAAAGACGCTGGGCACTCCCACTCCAACTAGCTATAACCGCTATGTCCCCAAGCCGTACACCAGCTCAGCCCGGCCCTACGAGCGCAAGTTTGAAAGCCCCAAGTTCAATCACAACCTGCTGCCCAATGACACACAGGTGAAGACGGACCTCCTCAGTAAGCCCAGTGTGGTGAGCAACAGCGGTGGGAAGCCTCTGCTATCACCGCAACCCCTGGATCACGACAGTGGCCTGGACACCTTCACACGCACTATGGACAACAGGCCCAAATACCAGCACAATAACATCAACGCCATCCCCAAGGCCATCCCTGTAAGGTAAACTCATACATTTTCACGTCCAACGGCAGCAGTGAGGGGTCTCATGGTAATTACTGAACTGCTGAAAGACAAAGAGAATTGTTTGTTCACAGGGGGTTGTTCTTGTGTCCTCTTCTTTGCATTATTCTTTGCCCACACTATTTTGACTGATGATGCTGACTTCTGTGCTCAGCCCCAGCACGCTGGACGATGACGATGAGGATGAAGGGCACACGGTGGTGGCCACTGCCCGTGGGATCTTCAACTGTAACGGAGGGGTCCTGAGCTCCATCGAGACAGGTGTCAGCATCATCATCCCCCAGGGTGCCATCCCAGAGAGTGTGGAGCAGGAAATCTACTTCAAGGTGTGCCGGGACAACAGCATCCTGCCCCCACTCGACAAGGAGAAAGGTCAGTCCCGGAGTTTCTTTATATCCTAAATATGTCAATGTCAAGGAACAGTCAGAGAGAAGGTGAAAAAAGTGCTGAAGTAGAGACAAAGTTAACAAGGCAGTTTCTTCTTTTAGAGCTAAGATTTAGCTGCATATGTGACCTTTTTAAAATATTTGCAACAACATGAGAAAGTTTCTGCTAAACTTTTGTTAGTTTAATTGTAGATTTGTTTAAACGTGCAGTTTATACTTCACATTGGAGTTGATGCACAATGAAAAGCAAGCAAAGAACACTACATATCTTTATGTAAAGTATTAAAGACCTAAAGAGATAGAACAGGTAATAAATGGCTGATTTACAGGCCAGACGGTGGCGACACAGGTAGAAATCTGCTCTTAAATAACATCCATGCCAGCAGTTATATTTAGCACCTGGGGAGTCTGGTAATTTAATTAACCTTGCAGGTCAGTTAACAGTTCTTATGAAAAGCTGGCAGCAGACTCATTTTGTCTCTTGATTGGGTAATAGATAATCCTGAGTACTGATTTATTCCTGCATGTTCAATTTGTGGAATCTAAATCTTTTTATCTGTGCAGGAGAAACGCTGCTAAGTCCACTGGTGATGTGTGGCCCTCATGGACTCAAGTTCCTGAAGCCGGTGGAGCTGCGCTTACCTCACTGTGCGTCTATGACCCCTGATGGTTGGTCTTTTGCTCTAAAATCCTCCGACTCCTCGTCGGGTACGCTGTCCCCTCTCTGTCCTTTTGGGGTCTGTGGGCTGGCTTTGATGATTAGAGAGGAGAGTTTCTTGGGGTCTGTTTTTCTGTTTTTCAATATTTCCCTCTCCTTCTTTATGCGTGTGCTGTTTGGAAATGTATGTTGTTTTCATGCTTAATATGACCTGCACCACTGGAGCTGAAACATTAAGTTGATAAATTGATATGAGTGTCTTCACAGAATAGTACTTAATAGTAATTATTAAGTTATTAAGTATTTTTTCATGCAGAAATGCCAAACATTACTTAGTTCCAGCTCTTCAGTTGTTGCTAGAAAAGCTGTTGCTTTTCTTTGTCTTATGTTATAGTAATCTTTGGGTTTTTGACTGTTAATCTGACAAAACAAGCAATTTTAAGACATCACATTGGGCTTTAAGAAATATTTTTTCAGTATGTATTTTCTAACCTTTTATAGTTCAAACAATTAACTGAGACAATAATCAACAGAGTAATCTGTAATGAAAATAATCATTAGTTGCAGCCTTAAATGACATTGCCATTAATTCTAATTGTGAAATATGCCAGTCAAGTATTTTCAACAGAACATAGAGTTTTAGAAGTCATGCTGTTTATTTTTACTCACTTAGTTGAGTTTTTTAGAAAACGGTTCTATTTATGAATGGATAAAGAATCTTAACTTAATAGATTAAAATTATGGTTACAGGACAGACACCATAATAAACCGGTAACGGTCAAGATGTCAGATAACCGGGTAGCATTTTATAGTGCACACATGCTAAACTAATGCTAAAGTGATGCATGTGATTGAATTATCAATTAATGAATGTTAATTCACAGTTACTTCTGTAATTGTATCTGTCTTATTTACACTCCGTAAATAAGACGTCCCATCCCCTTCTCGATTTTAAAAAAAAACAAGACAGAAAAGCAAACAACGATTATAATTTTCTTGGTCGATTTCAATAAATGATTTCTGAAAAGGTCTGACCTGCCTTCATTCGGATCCCCATTAGCACCAGCATACGCATTAGCTATTCTTCCTAAGGTGCATTGGGTTGTGTGTTCATAATAAAACACATAAACAAATAACCTTTATATTTTCTCCAAAATGGGAACAGGATCTTCTCTTACTCAAACACATCTCAAAATAAGAAAGTGCTCCAGGTTAGGCTACTGGACAGAGCTTTCTTATATAAATAATGTCCAACTAAAAATATACTGCAGTATTAAGTAAGTTACACAAGACACGTGATGTAACACTGTTTCCCATGAATGACAGTGTAACTGTGGTGGAGCCATGGGGGGTATATTTATAGAATACATTACCTGACTTCTAGTTGGTTATTTTTATCTCACCATATTAATTCTACTTAATTCTCCAGCTTATTTTAGTGTTCTGCTCACCTTGCTTTTCCCTTCTCTCACACACACACACACACACACACACACACGTCAAGTCTGTTTGGGGTAACACTGCTTATTTTGGCCTTACAGGTATTACAAATTGCAAGCTTTGTCTTCACAGGATGGGGATATGTGAGACTTATCAGCCCTGGTCATCTCTAGTTTACATTAAAACTGCATATTTATATGTTAAAACTGATATGATTCCCGTCCTGCACCCTCCCATTGATTTTTGATTTTTGTCCTGTCCCCTGTCCTGTGATGAAAAGGGAAATTGACTCCCACCCTCCAGGAATCCCACTGTCAGCCTCTAGTTTACATCTGACCACCAAAAACTTAGACTATTTCTATGAGAACAGGCAGAGACGCAGATCAGACACATGTCTGGAATGCCCTTTTGTATGGAACTGGATTCCAGCTATTTTGGGGGAATATAAATTCATCTACGAAATAACTGAGTTAACATTAGTAGTCTGTTTTTCTATTGCCGATATTTAAAGGGCAACTGCCCAAACTCACAAGGGCTACATCGTTCCACAGCAGCCTCAAAGATGAGGCTGCCTACATTCTGTGCTTATCTTGTAACCGCAGGCATCTGGCTGATGACGATTATCTCACAATGCCAGATAATCGGCCCAATAAATCGGGTTATCACTAATTAACATTCATTAAATTAACATTAACTAATCACAAACTCATGGTGCGCTAAATTTGTTAATTTCTTGCATTCAATCATCAGATGTAATCATGTGTTTTGAGCATCTATTGTTGTTTTTCTGCAAGAGGAAGGGAGCACCAGCAGCTGACGTCATGTCTCTATTTCCTGCAGGTGATCCCAAAACCTGGCAGAACAAATCTCTCCCTGGAGACCCAAACTACCTGGTGGGTGCAAACTGTGTGTCTGTGCTCATTGACCACTTCTGAAGAGGGCAACAGCTGGCCTGTTAACTGAATGTGATAAACAGGGGACCACAGTTGCCCCTGCCGTGCTCCCTCCACCGTAGCGGGGTGCACAATGCTCGACGAAGTATGAACTTGATACTCTCAACGTTGTTTACTGTGCCCACAATTTCAAAGAATGAGGAGAAAAAAATAATAAAACACAAGGAGAGTCCAGCATCCCCAAGGCTGTACTCTTGTTTTTTCTTTAGTTTTTTTCGGTGCTTTCAAGGCTTGCAAAAAATAAAGATTAAAACAAGTTATTTAAACAGGAACTGAAGTTGGAATGCATGACCAGTGCCACAGACTGAATAATCTCGTTTTGACATTTTTAGCTAATTTTGTAAAAGGTCAGAGCTGTGCAAGAAAAAGGATAATTTTGGAAACTCGTTTAATATTGCAATGGGACTTTTTGCGTACTGTAAAAAAATAATAATATATATATATATGAAAAAAAAAAACTCACAAACAGCAAAGTTGTTATATGCAAAACTTTTGTTTGTGAGTTCTGTGGTCATGCGTTTCACTCGGGAAGGATCTCGGAGGACTTAAGAAATGCTGACTCATGAAGGAGGAAGTAGGTGTCATAAAGATGAAAAAAATTTGAAGAATGACGGTTAAGTATTAGTATGGGACACCCGTTTGTTCTGATGGGGCTCTCTCTTTAAAAACTGATGTTTTGTAGCAATGTTTTACCGTAGATAAATATACTGACTTGATTTTACAAACTCCTGCTGTCTAGAGATCTATGCATGTGCTATGACTCAGGTCCAGAAGCCTGCTACTACTAAGTTCAACACATGAAAATCCCATCGTACACTGCAAGCAGTGATGCCTTATCTGCATATTAACTTTTCAGTGAAACTTTAAAACATCGGATCCTTCAGTTATAGCGATCACTACGGAAGAAAAAGTTGTCTCTGCATTTTCTCATAAACAGTGAACTTGGATTTAGCACACGAGAATAATTGAGGCTGATGAAAAGGTATGCTTTCTTTTACTGCTATGCATATGAAGTCTGAGGAAATACAAAAAGCTAGAAGATGTTTAAAATTGTGGCTGTACATATTGCTAGTATATGGCCTTGGTTCTCTGTAAATGAACTTTTGTACATCTTTGTTATTTTGTATAAAAGATAAAACGTTTGTTAAAAAAGAGAAAGCGGTAACATTGGTTATGTTTGTATTCCGGTTATACTCCTGAGCCTTGGAACTGACATAAGCAGTAATAAGTCCGACTTTTCTACCAACATATACACATAACTACTTAAGGCATTTTTAACAGTCAGAAAACTTTTTATTCTTATTTACAAAATAGAGAAGTGCTTGGTTTAAACGATTTTAAAAGATGTACTTGAGGGGGTCTGCTGTGAAGAGTAGTCCCTTCCTTTATTTGTGATACTGGATGCTGTATTGTGTGCCCTGAAATGTATTTTTGTACTAATAGACAATTTAATATGGCACATCAGTACTATTTTCTTTTGATATGATAACACTGCTTCAACCCAACACTAGTTTATTTTCCCGTGTGGCTGACATTTTTATTTATTTTTATTTTTCTTCAGTTCAACTTTTGGTTATTCCTTTGCGACACATTTCTAAGTATACCACTGTATTAATAAATAAATTCATTTTTAAAGTAACTGCTCCTCGGATCAGTGTACTGTGTTGATCTAAACATCCAGATGTTTTACATACCGACACACCCAGACTGTTTTTCTGCCCAAAGGATTCCTTTGTAGGTTGTCAAGTTGCCGACTGGATTGTCAGTATGATGCAATGCCTTATTTAAGTTTTCTGCCAATCGCAGCTGCTTCCCAACTTTTTCCACATGTAAAATCCATGAAATGAAGTGGATTACTCTGCATACACAAATGTAAATCCAGCACAGACAGTCTTAAAAATTTACAGTGGAATGCATCTTGTTGCTTTGCTAACCACAACTGCACTTTATGTTCCTTACAAATGAATTTCCTAGTGTGGTTTTTCTTAATCCGACCTTTTCTGGTTCACCGGCTTCATTAAATCTGAAATAAATTCCATCCATCGTCAACCGCTTATCCTGCATACAGGGTCGTGGGTGAAATAAATTCCTTTTCCTGAAAGATCCCCTCCAGACATGTTTTAAGACACTCACTTAACAGTTTATTAGGTACAACTAGCTAAAACTAAAGAAGTCTAATACAACAGTCCTGCAATAAATCATCCCTTTGTGAAGGTTATAATCAGTTGTTTTAGAGAGGCACAACCGTAGTCATTGTGGAGGATGCTGTCTCTGGTGCTGCTGAAGTGAATTGCTTTATACAGGCAGGGTACAAAATTAACTATTTTCTCCACCCACTTAATGGCTAGTGAATGTTAAGTACTCAATACCATCGTTTCTTTGGCTGGTGAATGAAGGAAATCTACCAGCCTCTTGCATATTTACCAGCATTTGGCTGGTGCTAATTTTGTACCCTGCTGACAGGTGTTTGTTATTTAGCCTACCTTCACTGATATAAATGGGATGGACTTTATGATAGCAACACCTTTTATTATAATGCAATACAATTCAAACAGTTGAGTCAATACACCTTTAAAACAACAAAGGCTGAACATTATAACCTTCATCGTTGACAGCTGAATGTATAAAGTTAATCTTTAAATAATGTGTCTGATATGGTTTTTGAAACAAAAATATAAGTTCAGTCATCTGGTTAAAAATTCTTAAGTCACATCTACTCCTCCCTTTAAATCTTAAAATCTGAATATGAAAATACTCATGTCATTAGATAGAAAATATCTTACTTCACACATTCTCAGTATGTGTTTGCTGGAGGTTTAAAAGTTTCCACATTGCATGTGTAAGTTGCATACTGGACCTCACAAAATCATGTTCGTACTTACGTGTTTAACTGAGATTTAAGATTAGCACAGAAAAAACATTGTCAGCAAATGAAGATGGAAACAGCCTTCTGGCGTCAAACTCTGCTCATACATCATTCTGCACAGTGAAAGTCAAACATCCAAGTGACATTACAATAAGACATGTCGATCTTATTTGGTTTTCTGAAACCAGCTGATTTACTAGGTTTCGACATTTTCGCAACATTTGTCATGTGACTCAGCGTGTGACTAAGTCAGTATCATTTTATGTCAAAGGTTCTGCTGTGCCATTCACCCCACCAGTCAGAAGGTTGCTGTAACAAGAGCACATTATGGAGCCTACTAGGGCAACAGCACCCAAATACTGTCACCATAGCTGTAGTCTAACAGTATGTGTTAGTAGCGCACACAAGCCGATAAGACTGCATGTACTTAACATCTGTGCAAAGGTTCACTGATAAACCCAACGATTTGTACATTGTGACTTTAGTCCAGTGCAAATAAGACATACTGTACCTGTGTATCACATACTGTCAGCATTATGGAATACAAACATTGAAGAGGTTCACAGTAGTTCTGTTAATTATAAAAAAAGTGGTCTCTTTAATCATTATGTAATGTTTCAGAGTCAGAGTCCCTGAGATTAGTTGACTGTTAAAAAGGTCCATGAATGCGCTGCTACTTCAACACTGACTACTATAAGTTTCTGTGTTAGAGTTTTATTTCCCTAGAAGTGATTGCTCTGTAAATCTCCTCAGTCAGGGGAACGTAGGTCTTTTTCTCAGGATCTAAAAAGTATAAAGGATCTTTGATGTGAGCTGGGCTGAATCCCTCCTCCACCAACTTCACTTTCTTCATCTTGAATGTCCCCGTCATCTCCAAGCAGGGCTACAAAACACATAGTGAATTTTTAGAAATCACTTTTGGCCAACTTAAGCTCAGTTAGGAGAGCACACCTCCCTGACCATCCATGTGCAGACATGCAAAGCCTGAGGCAGAGAGAGCAGCATGAAAGACACCCCCTCCCCCAGGGTACAAAACAGAACAGGCATCAATACAACAAAAATGACATGCATAATTTTAGAGCCTGAAAGGAGGAGCTGGGGTGGCAACCGGTTACATGCAGCTTGCAAAGTAAGCAGCAACAGTAGGCTGGCGTCTTGTATGGAATTGCCAATGAATGCTAAGAGGGGAATCAGCTGAGCTGTCAGCTGATGTGACTGGGATTGTGAGCTGAGCTTGATTGTGGTGCCTGTCTGAACTAATGCTATGCTCAACTTTTAGAAACAGCAGAACAACACACTAGGGCTGCACCATCACGGAACAACATTATTTTCTTTAATAGTGGCGATGTCTATGAAGATTCTCAGTCATCCAGGTCATAGTTATCCAACGAAGGTTAAAATGAAGGGCAACTGGACTGAACGACCATCGTTGGTATCTTCACCTGAGGCCAATAGGTCAACAAACGTAACCTATTGGCCTCAGGTGAAGATACCAACGATGGTCGTTCAGTCTTGGCCACAGGTAGTCTCAACGACTGTAACGACTGTCGTCACAGCAACAAGGAACACTAACGAACCAGCGGTATCGATGACCCGGTGACCTGAGTTTCCCTGCCAGTCAGTCAGAACTGAAGAAGTCCTTTGGATAAGGGACGAAACGTCTTCCAGTAGCTTCAACCAAGTCCAGTTGCCCTTCATTTTAACCTTCGTTGGATTTAATAGTGGCCTTTTAAATTCAGTCTTTCCACTACAGTGCATTCAATCAGTCACTTTCAGGCAGCTGACTCAGTTTTTAAATGCCACAGCAATCCCTCAATGGCCTCATGTTAATTTATATAAAATAATCCGAGTCAGTTCCACACAGTGAGCTGTAAGGTTTTAAATTTGGGAAGCGAAGAGCACTGCTATCAGATCAGTAATCTATATCAGCAGATATCCTCATTTAAGGTACTGAGTCAGTATCAACATGTGTGCAGTTTTGGAAGTGGGGTGACACAATGAAGTCAAAGGTTCTTCAACAAAAAAATAAAAGTATTTAAAAGTAATATAAATGTTATTTCGTTAATTTATATAAGTGTGTATCATTTATCAATGATTAAATTGGTTATCATGCTTTCCATAATGGGGGTATGCAAACAAAGCTATCAATTGCTGCTTTACAATGCACCAACCCAATAATTACCAATAATTTCCTTGATAGAGACATGATACTTTTTGATAAATTATATGCTATGTTATATAAAAATGTGAACTTTTAAACTCAAATATTTGATTTCTGTCTTTACAACAAAGACCTCCGTCTTTTACGGCATGATCTTTGATTGATTGTCAGAGAATTATCTGTATTTTGGGGACCTTTTTCAGGCAGCCCCAACAATCCTGATGCCTGAAGTGCAAATCCAGGGCAAGAAAGTCTGTAAATCACTTGCTAATGCTTGTACAGCTTAAATGCTGAGAGTGAGGGGGACAATAATGCTCAGTTCCATGTTCCACCTGACACCTGAGTGCCACAATGCTGCAGGTGCATGAAGTAACAGAAGGGCAGAGCACGTTGTTTTTGTTTTTTTCTTTTTCACCTGGATCCTGATGAATCTGGGTCTCGCGTAAGCTGGGAGGTAGTTGACAACCTGCTTGTAGGTGCCAGAACAGTCAAAATCTTGTCCTTCTTTTAAAATGACAGCTGCCATGCCGATTCGCCCCTCATGACCTGATCAGACAATTCAATTATATACATATAGAAAATATTAAAAAGCACAGAATGCAGTTTTTGCGTTCATCGTCCGCAACCTTACTGTAAAATCTGTACAATGTGGTTTAGGACCATTTCTGACATCAGTGTTCCTACCTTCAACTTTAACACCATAGACGTTTGCCTCTAAAATGCAATGAGCCATTGTGAGAATGTCAGCAACCTCTGACGTGGCAACGTTCTCTCCTTTCCATCTGTAACATACAAACACATAAAAGTCAAACGGAAATCTTATGCAACACATCATCCCCCTTAACACACTGACTAGCACCAAAGTTAGACAGCTTTGTTTGCAAAGAACTGAGCATATTATGTATCAGTTAATCCAAAATTGATATTATGAAGTTTAACTATAACTATTTTATAATGTGAAAATAAGATCATTTGCCGCTTTGAATTTCTAGAGTATGTCCGCTGTCTTAATCTGATCCATTCATACTGAAACACCTGAACAAAAGGACAACAGTTTTCTCTCATTTGGTGTCTCAGCAGGTTAAATCTCAGCTCTGTACCCTTTTAATAAAGCCAAACTCACCATCATAAAACTAGTAGTTCACATCTACATATTCTTCTGTTACTGATGTCAGAAAAGCGTAAAATATTGATTTAATCTAAAATTAAAACAACAGAACTGACAGGTCAACACAAAATGAGTCACCACTTGCCTGAAAGTGTCGCCAACTCGATCTTGAAAGTACACAAAGTTGTCGTGATCAAACCGAAGCAAATCTCCAGTGTTGAAGTACAGGTCACCCTTTTTCAATACGTCACGAAGCCTCTTCTTCTCAGTCTGTTGTTGGTTGCCAGCATACCCAACAAAGGGAGACCTCTGAGTGATCCTTCCCACCAAAAGTCCCGTCTCGCCTGACAAAAAGACACATGACGTGTCCATCACAATTTCCCCATAGACCCACGTCTTGAGGTTGCTTGTTTTGTCCAACAGACAAGCCGACAAGTTTCCACCTGTAATATTGACTCACCTCTGGCTGCCTTGATGCACAGACCCTCAGAGTTCCTGACAGGCTCCTCTTTCTCAATGTCAAACTTGATCAAAGTGTAGGGGAAGAAAAACTGGAGAGAAGACAGAAAACATTTAAATGTGTATTGTTTGTGGATACGCTTAACAGCCTACTATTGAGCTGAGTTTAGCTTTGCTGATTTAACAAGACTAATCTACAGTCATGCCAGCAGCTCTGCGAGTCTGTACTTACAGCCGGGATTTTAGCTAAATGCTCAAATGACAATACTATGTAATGTGTACCATGTTCACCATCTTAATTTAGCGTATTAACATGTTAACATTTGCTAGGAAGTACAAAACACAAAGCACAGCTGCAGCTGACTTGAATGTCATTAGTTATGTGGGTATTATCTGGTCATAAACCAAAGTTTTGGACAAACTAACCGGATGGAGGAGGAAATTTGAAGAATCAAAAATAATTACAACTCATCTTGAGGGGAAACATGAATTTACCAAATTCCAAGGTAATCCATCCAATAGTTGTGAAACATTTCATATAAAAACAAAAATGCCAACCTCATGCTGGCGGTAGAGCAAAAGGCAGAGGATCACCAATGTTATTAGGATCCCTCCTCTGGAAACCAAGAATCTCTATACCACATTTCATGAAAATGTATCCAATAATTAAAGATATTTCAGTCTGGAACAAAGTGGTGGAATGACTGACGGATCCTTGCCAACCCTAGAGGAGTGCTGCTAGTGTGGCTTAAAATACCGTGCATGTTCCTCTGCTCACCTTGTGGACTAAATTGACTCGACCCACTGCACCAATCTTGGACGTGTAATTGATGAAGCCGATGTTTCCTTCTGTGGCAGCGTACAACTCTCTGACTTTTATGTCCCCGAACCGATTCAGAAACTCAGACCAAATGTCAGTTCGGACTCCGTTACCGATGGCAATCCTCACTCTGTGGTTCTTCTCATTGTCTTTCTACATAGAATGAAGTTGACTCACATATAAAACAGAGGCATGCAACGCTTTACATCTTCAATCAGAACAATATTTTATTAATTTAATTAGTTCATTAGTTGATCAAGATTCCTTTTACCTTGGGCGTGTTGCAGAGGTAACGCATCGTTTCACCAATGTACTGCATCACTGTCACATTATACTTCCTGCAGTCGGCCCAGAACTGAGAGGCAGAGAACTTTCTTCTCAGAAAAACGGTTAAACCTGCATTTAACATCATATAACACAGCCTTTATCTTACTGTGAACGTATATATTAAATTCTTAAGTGCCCAAACCAGGTGTGTAAATGCTTTTGTTCTCATGAAACAATTAAGAGATATTACCTCTCTCGATGGCTCCGGCCATCCCGATGAGGAGGCCTGCACTGTGATAGAGAGGCAGATTGACGTAGAAGATGTCCTCTGATGTGACACCACATATTGCCTGGATAAAGGAGGCGGCCCAAACCCTCTCATGAGTGACAACGGCTGCTTTAGGCAAACCTTCAAAGGTCAAAGAATAATAAATCAACTCAGTTTCTTTAATACAGCAGGTTAGTATTAGATACATGCAGTTTTTAAAGGAAAAGGGGGTTTCAAAACAGAGACTTCTCAACCCACTCTCTGCAATAAGATCCACTTTGCGGTCCATTCATAGACATATGTTCTAACAGGCATACTCCCTTTAAAGCTGCTCTAATATTTGTGTACTATGAAAGGGGTTGCTTGTGGGACGTCCCACACAGAATTCTCACACAACTCTGCCGTGCCTTTTTCCTAACCTGCAAGTATTTATCGTTATGTCAAAACAATAGAAAAGCTAGTTAAAACATCTGACAATCTTACTATTTCACATATAGTATGAACACTTCACAGAACCGTGATGTTCATAAGCAGAGTGTCCGCTCCCATTGAGTAGGCTGAGAAGAGAAATCAAAAGTGTGTCAAGTATCGAATCGCTATTTCTTTCGAGCTTGAAGGCTGATTTTTGCTCCTGAGTGAAAGTTGAAGAAACTTGATGGTTAATTGTGGTTTAAACTCTTCTTTATGGTCAACACTTGAGGCCAAACAGTGGATCACTTCACAAATATGAGGTGGAACATTCAAAACACTTATGATAAAATCTTTGTCAACAAATATCTATGAGAAAAATTGTTAAGAAATTGTTTGTCATTTTTGTTTCAGCAAAATAAACATCTCAATAAGAAAATTACATCCTATGTCATGTATGATTTAAGTGAATAAAATCAAACATGTATTGAATATTTATTGACCATTTGTTATTGTTTTATTGTCCAGTCCTAACCTTCATGAAGGTAGAATTTATTGCAGGACTGTTGTAATAGACTGTATCAGTTTTTGCTAGTTGTACCTAATAAACAACTGAGTGTATTTTCCACGGCTATGAGTGTAGACTTTCACTTTGTCAGTTTCAGTTTCAGTTTCCCGGTGTACCTGTGGTGCCTGACGTGTAGATGTACAGAGCAGTGCTCCTGATGTTGACATTGGCTCTGAGGTCCCGGGACAGCGGCTGATCTGAGGCCTGGGAGATCTTGTCAGACAAAGTCTTGATGCCCTGGACGCTGCAGGCCTCTGACAGGAGGTACACACTGATACCCTGCTCTCTCAGCGTTGGTAAAACCTCCTCCAAAGCATCCTGCAGCTCTGCAAGTATAGAAAAGCATTCAGCTCTGTACAACATGTCAGAGCCCTCTGTTGAGCAATGCAGCACATGTAGGCCCTGTGTCATGTTACCTCACCAGTATACGAGCACATGGTGCAGCCAGTCCAGGCCAAATGTATGCATTACTCAGTAGTGAAGCTTCAAAATTAGTATAGAAAAACATGTTTTCATTCTGCAGTGTTTCCTCAAAAACTCAGGAGTAATGGTAGAGCATATTGACACCATGTCAGAACAGAAGTTGTTAAAACTTTGTTCCTCATCCAACATTTGCTGGGGAAACTGTTGGATAATGACGCCATATGACTCCTAAAATTGTTCTTCTTTCAAAACAGAGTTTAGTTAGAATCGACACAACAGATAAGAATTAAAACATATTTTATTGTGTTAACTGTTGCGTTATCTAAGACAGACTGAAACAAGTTGGAATGAATCCTTTTTATCATGTGGAGTTTAGGACCAGGAGATGATTCAATATGATCAGTTGTTGTCTTTCTATATAATAATTACGCTGCGAAACAATAATACTTAGATGAAATTTTCCTATCAAGATATTGTGGTTCATGCTTCTCATGTGTAAATGTTTGAGAAGTGAAATGATACAACAAAAATTAACATTCATTCAGTCATTAACCCCCTTTAATCAGTGGTAAGATTTATTCACCCCCACTAACCTATACTTGCTAGCAATATGTGGCCTGATATTTGATCTGAAAATTAAAATGCAGCTTTGTTTGTTTGTGTTGTAATCTAGTGGTGGTTTTAATGTTGTAGCTGGTATAAGTGATGCTAAATAACTACTTTTAGTAGTATTGAGTAGTTTAATCTACTGCAACCAGGGTTGGATCACCAATCCAGGCAACATGGGCATTGGGCAACCCTCCCCGGGCCCAGGTTCACTGTAAGGGCTCCTGAAGGTGAATGTGTATGTAAATGATGCACAGAAAAGTGGGAGGAACCGGCGTCATAAGGGCAAAAGTCCATATTATGGCCCCTAAGCAGGTCACTCCAGCTCTGATAGTGAAGCACCATGCTCTTTAAATGAAACCATCTGAGAAGTTAAGGACAAATTTCTCTTCGATGGAATTGCTAACAACTCAGACATTTAGACATGAAAAGGACTGGACACTGCTTCTTTAAATAAAAAGCCCAAAAGTGTGGGAACCACTGGTTTATTCTATACTGTGTTTTATAAGCTGATGTTCATGCAAAATATTACATTTGAAAGATAACCAGTAACTACACCTGTCAAACTAATCTAGTGGAGTAAAATATTTCCCTCTGAATTGTAGTGAACGAGAATAATAAAAACAGTGCAATATATAAATACTTAAGTAATGTACATGTACCTCAAAGTAGTACACAAGTATAGTATTTAAGTAAATGTCCCTTTACCAACTGGTTGCACAAAATGGCAAATTCCAAGTACCCCTGTCTGAAAATTGTACTTTGAACTTCGTATTTCACTAGCAGTCAGCATGCTCATGGAATAATGGTGGACACCAAAAGGACAGAGAACTGAAGACCCCCTGCTCTTTTTCTCTCACACATGTATTTAATATCTCACAGGATCTTACCTGGAGAGGCGATGATCACTTTGGCCCCGCAGCAGGAAAAACAGTGCAACAGAGACTTGGATCTGATGTTGAAGTTGAGCAGAGCAGCCGGACAGCCCAGCTTGGCCAAACCGAGCCAAGTCCACACGAAACTGGGCTCGTTGGGCAGGAACAGGGCGACCGCGTCCCCTTCCTTCAGACGGGCTTCAGCCTGCAGAGCTCTGGCCACCCTGTTGCTCTGTTTATCCACTTCGCCATAAGAATATTCTCCACCTTCAAAGTGCAGAAAGGTCTTACTGGGATGCCTCTTCGCCTTATCTAAGAAGCAGTCCAAGATGCTGTAAAAGGGCTTGATTTTCTTGTATTTGGTGAGCCTGGCGCCGAGTTTAATGCTGGTCAGGATGTAGACGCAGTCCTCGACCAAGTAGGGGAAAAGTGTTTTGAGGAATGGGAAGGACAGAATAGCCAGCCCGACTACAACGGTGAACCAGATGAACATGTTGCAGAGCGCACTACGCAGGTGGCATCTATCAGAGTGTGTCACAGGAGGTAGGAAAAATGCAGCCCAGTGCTACTTATGACAATGTTCACCCCCTCAGCTCGGGGCGGTGCTCAGCTCTGACCCGCTCACCCCTCCTTCATTCCTGTCGAAGGTTTTCCAGTTGCCAGATCCGGTATTTCCACACGCACTCTGCTTTTTACGATCATTTCCATTCATAATTATGCGATTCTCGTGTTGTTATCCTCCTGTTACACTGCACAACCTGCTTCTATTGCGCAAGATCTTGAAACAGTGAGAACAAGTGTGTAAACAAGAAAAACATGAATGGAGGGCCAATGCGTTTCAACCTGCGACACCTCCAGGTTGTGACAGTTAACTGCAGTTTATTTTCTTGTCCCTTTTTTTTTTAAAGGACAAAGTGCCAATATGAACATGAAGATTGACAAAAGTAACAGCCTAAACCCTTACAGAAACTCTGCAAATGGAAGCTGTTATTATAAATCCCATAATGTGGTGGGCGTGCACTCCTAAAACTGGACTGTATTTGTCTGCTGATTTATGGGGAGGGGCATAGCTACAACACACCCTTTTCATATAAAGTCTATGCACACGCCACACACCCCTTTTATTTCTATGCTGAAGCACTTTATGTTCAGTTTTTGAGAGACTGCCAGAGCTGTTATTTATCTAACGGTGTAGTCATTTTTAATGCAATAATTTAGTGTCTCATAATGTGGTGATCGAAGGTCTAATGTTCTTGAGATTCCTTTTTGACATAGGTGTCCCATGGTTGGAAAAGGGCGGAAACTAATGATCATCTTCATTACTATGAAATCAGTTTTAGTTTTTTAATAAATCAATTAAGTGTTAAGTTTACAAAATGTCAAAATATTGTGGGGAAAATGCCCATTATGGTTTCTCAGAACAGCCCACTGTCTTTGGTTTGCCTGACTTGATTTGAACTTGACTGCTGTGAGACTTGATTAGTGGAGACTTAACTATACCCCAAAGACTTGACCTGACTTGAGAATAAAAAGAGAACATGAAAGTCTTGAGTTTTGACCTGGTGAAATCCCAAAATAATAGATGTAACAACAGGTAGGCCTGGCACAGCCACACACCCCAAATATATAATTATTAGGCCCTCATGTTTGGTCTCGGCTAAATAAAAACACTCAACACAGATTTGAAATCAAAATGTTCAAATGCCATGTCAAGTTAGTGGTCAGAAACACTTGCAAGTTAGTGGTCACTTGCCCTTAAGGACTTGAGATATCACTTTTTTTTCACATAACAACATGATGATCAAAAGTGTTTGAGTTGTTGCCCTTTTGCCACATTACATAATGTTTTTTTGTGGCGCACCAAGGGTTTCTAGATTTGCTTGTTGCTTTATGATGCTCTGATATTTCACTTAAAAGAAAATAAAAACATCGGTAGTTAACTTAGACTCATGACACCTGTAAAGCTGTGTTTGTATTAGAGGTTTCAGTTATTCAGTGCCTAAATTGTCAGTGCATCATACATATCTCTCACTCTGGACTGATCATCATACTTATCTGTCTATCTGACATCTCTAAAGCTATACCACTGGCAAGTCTAAATCACACACAGGGAAACTGCAAAAGCCAAGAGGCAAATTACAAGTAGATACTCAACAACACTGCCAGCAAGATACAAGATATTTGGTTAACATCACAAACTATGGCCTCAAAGTGACAATGAAGTTAAACCCACACGAGGGGGAGAAAGCTGCACCAGAGATGTCCATTAAAAAACACCTGAACGTAATAATGGTGTTTGGTTCATATACCATTAGGTTGCACATTTTTTTAATAATAAAACTACAAACTTTCAGATGCTCTTGTCAACATCAGTGACCCTATGGTCACCTGACCTCAGTCCTCATGTTTTTCAAGGTATCCTCAATGCTGTTGATGAGCTCTAGGGGCAACACAGCCAGGTCACCCTGCACCCAAACAGAGGGTGAAAGGAGAGCTTCTATCCCAGGAGCTGGTGGGTCATATTGATCGGAAACACTATGCTGCGTTTTAAAAGGACACAGATGAAGATTTATTTACGGCACATGAAGAACAGCTTTTTGTGCACATCACTATTCACCATGTAATAACAAACTTGTCAAGTGTTATTTGCAGTAAAATACTTCTGTGATTTTTTTAGAAGCTACAATTTGAATTGAACTTTGAACTGTACATATTTAACAATGCCTTAACAAGCTGTGGGTTTAGATAGCAACCACTGATTTTAGCCGCCATCTCCAAAAGACCTCAAGTTGCTCTAACAAGCAACTGCAATACTTTACTTATTTTATTTAAGTAGAAAGATTAATTTGTTTAAAACTATGTAGATCACTAATGAAAGTCTTGTATTCATTTTATATAACATAAGAAATTTAATATATTGATCAGAAAATCTGATCTGAGAACAATTATTCCCCTCAAACAGTTAAGCCCTGAAGAGAGGGAGGGGCGTAACACCAGTCATTCGACAGTCAGACAAGAAGCAATCTTTTGTGTGCAAGGCAGAGATTTCAGCTCCTACGCTAGAAAGACAAGAGCTTTGATAGACCAGAATGACAAATAGCAAGAAGTTGTTTTAACAAGGAGCTCCCAGTTTCCTCAACTGGAAAAACTTGCTTTCTTGCGCTAAGTGAAGCTATACTACTTCTGTAGTTTGCATGAGTCTATGTCAATCTCACATCTCAGTGCAACATGTTCTCTCGAGGAGAATTAAAATCTTCTGGTGATATTAATGAAATCAGAGGCAGAAGTACAAAAGGTACAACCAACACAGAAGAGTACAATAATGCTCTCAACACGAAGGCTGAAACTGTCAAATGCTTTGTAAATATATAATATCACTGGAGTAAACATACCTGAATCCTCACAAAATGTGGTCTTGCGTAGGGCGGCAGGAAGATTACGACATGTATAAAAACACCTTTAGAGTCAAACCTCTGTCCTTCATTCAATGTTACAGCAGCCATTCCAGCTTTCCCCCCTGATGATGTCATAGAGTGAGAACATTGAATTTTCCCTTGTGGGATTAATAAAGTACGTCTTCTTCTTCTTATAAAGATGTTAAAAGACCCTCAGATACAAATTTCTATCGGAAATGTAAGATCCAGTGTTTTCAGAGTTTGACACATATTGGGGACTTAAGGCTGGGGTATGCTTGAAACAAGCTAGTTCATAGTGTTAAGAAATATTCTCAGGTGTCTTAATTGATGCAACAGGGAAAGGTAAGACAGGTCTAGGTTAGAGTAATGTAGCTGATCCCATAAGTATTTGACATTATAGCTTTAGGTATTTCTCACACGTACTTGTCCTCATCAGGAAGACAACAATAGACTGATTAGTTAGAGACAGTAGCTCAGACGTCAGGCTAGCAGATATCAGTGTTCTCTGGGAGTCTTACAAGGTTGAGCCATACAAGAATGTTTACAAGAACTAACTGGCTCCACAGATTAGAATACAACTAATGGATAGTGAGAGATTCCAATATGATGAAGCATTGGAGTCTACATATCAGATAGATAGTTGTTCTAGGTGAAAGGTGACCTAATAGAGAAACCTACAGGCACTAGGGGGAAGACAGAAACATAAAAAGGGACCACAAGATGTTCTCCTTCAGATCTGGTGTTGGCATTTGACGTGTTTACATGTTGTATGCTGGCACTGTATCTCCTCGGCCGGGCTCAATAACCCATGCTATGTTAAGTCTTCATCAGTCTCCAAAACTTCTTCACACCTGAACCTGGCTCACAATAACACATAGAACATTTAGTCTGCCCACAATCAAAAGAAAAGGTCTCAAAGCTGCTCTGAATATCTTCACTTGAAGGGAGGGACGAAAAGCTTGCCACCACAGAGAGAAGCGAAACATTTGATAAGTACAACACGAAAAGGTTATTAATGGAGTTTGCCACTCCCACTATTCTTCTTCTTCTTTGTCTTACCTGTAAGGGGGAAAATCATTTCTAAGTTCTGTAATTACAGAACTGCTTTCATAATTTGGGGGCTTTGAGGGGATGTAAACACAAATGCTTTCATCGACTAATAATCCATCATTGTAGGAAAAGTTTAATATAACAGTGACATCTGGGGTTTTAAAAAGGGTGTGCAAATTCTGACGAATACCGTTGAACAGTGCAATTTATTAGGAATAAGCTGAAGTCATATTCTAGTTTATTTTTTATTTGTTTAAAATTCCCCATGGGCTTTAGTTTATTAATAATAATAATGTTGGTCACCCTTTTTATAAAGTCACATTAAATCAAATATATGACATATCATGTCTCTGTGTCAAGATTTGACTCAAAGAAAAAGTAGTAACATTTTTGACACAAATTGGCTATCAGGTTAAAGTATTTTCATTACCTTCATGAACTGTGTGTCACAGCTGATACTGCTGACTGGTGTGAGCCAATCTTCAGGACAAACTATAATAACAGACTTCCGGTTTTCAGAATGCCTGCATGCCCCTGTCTCTATCACCTTACGCAGTCTCTTTAAACCTGCTTCTCTTCCTCAGTCTGCTCTCACAGGGACAAAAACTAAAGACCTTGTCTATTCGTAAAGGAGAATATTTCAGCCGAAGTGCAAATACCACTGGGAAATGGGGACGAGTTGCATGATACATGAGTTGACAGTACGAACTATGCCATTTTACTTAAACACATGGTGGACTACTGATAAACACGGCGTCTGGTTAATGGTAAATGGATCTATCCAAATTTTTGTTCCCCTGTTAATGACCTTTGATTTCCAATAAATCCAGACTGAAATCATGAGCAAACAGTTCAACAGACGGACCACCTGAGTGCAAATATCATGAGTAGTAGTAGTAAGTAAGTACATTTATTTGTCCCCGTAAGGAAATTTGTTCGCATGGCAATCAAGTAGGCATTACAAACATACATCATACAACATACATCATACATATACACCAAAAGAGAACCTTTAAATATACAAAGTCACATACTAATACACTTAACACATATTTCCCCATACCCTGCACTTTTACTACCTATTTGATTAGG